TATTTATTTTTAAAGATTTTATTTATTTATTCATGATAGACATAGAGAAAGAAAGAGAGGCAGAGACACAGGCAGAGGAAGAAGCAGGCTCCATGCCGGGAGCCCGACGCGGGACTCGATCCTGGGACTCCAGGATCGTGCCCTGGGCCAAAGGCAGGCTCCAAACTACTGAGCCACCCAAGGATCCCTCTTTATCCACCTTTAAATAAAACTGGTTGTCATGTTACCATCTGTTTTCACAGATTTTTGAATCCAGGAGATCCTCTCTCAGCTCCTATGCAGCAGATCACACCCCTTGCTCTGCCTGTGCCTTCAGTGTCGGGGGCTCCTGCGGCTCTTCCTTAGGAGCCCCCCACTCGGCTTCCTTAGGAGCCCCCCACTTCCATGCACCCCCACTGGTGCCTTTGCAAGCAATGCTCATTATCTTCTCGAAGCTCTAGCCTACCCCAGCCATTTCTACGGGGCACCTCACACTCGACACGTCTCAACTGAACTCACTGCCTCTCTCCCCCACATCCTGCTTCTCCTCCTGTGTTCTCTATCTCAGGGGCAGGCATCATCATGGACCTGGCTGCCCAAGGAATGGGCCCATGGTCTCTCCACTTTCACCCACCAACTCAGCATCCATGCCCTCCAGATCTGGCCTCCTACCAAAGCTCCCTTTCATCTGCCTTCCTCACTCCAGCCTGTAGCCATGGTCTCAGTACAGCCCACTTCTGTCATCCCTTCAATGGCACTATATCCACTCCCCCAACCCCTGGCCAGGCTCTCACCCACCATTCTGCGCATAGGAGTCCACAGAGTGTCTCAGAGATGCACATTGGGTCCTGGAAACATCCCTGTGCTGGTTCTTTTCCCTTTTACTCCTTTCCAGTCACTTGGCCTGACCTCATAAGGCCTGCCTGCCCCACATCTCCCTCCATGAGTCTCTGACCACCCCCCATTATAATTGTTTCCTTGTCTGTACTTATGCTCTAGAGGCAGCGCTACATGTCGGGGACCCTGTCAGTGGCCCAACCCAGGGCTAGGCACACAGAAACCCTTTGTAAAGTATGTGTTAAACGAGGAGCTTTTGTCATTCAGCAAACTGATGTGATGAACTATAGGGACAGAATTCCTGATGGCCAACGATCGCCTTATTCCCAGGATAAATCATATTTTATAGCGGCGGGGGTTTCGTTTTATGTATTATTGAATTAAGCTCTTAAAGCCTCAGGATTTTTTTATATCTATTTTTAGAAGGAAGGCAGGTCTGTACATTGTCTTGGACATGCTACTTTTGGCAGCTTTGAGTATAGGAATCGCACTGCCTATAAAAATAAATTGAGTGGATGTCAGAATACATATATGTATATGCCCTGAAATGATTTCTCTGGTGTTGTATTATCCTTGTTTAATAGAAATGAATAAGAATGCATCAGCAAAGATAGATGATCTGACTCTCAATTTAGAGCTAATTTTCAGAGAACTTTGACAATGCTGGAGAACTTGAGCTCTTGCCATGGTTATGGGACCTATCATGGTGTTTTCCAAATATTTTGGAGTTGGCTTTGAAATATTCTGATTTCCTAGGAAATCCCTGACTTACCTGTTCACCTTCAGATTCTGATGCTTCTGCAAACAGCAGACTGTGGTCACTGCCCACAGCAGTGAAGGGGAAGACAATAACTACAAGAAAAAACGGATTTGGATGCAGACAATGTAGCCCAGAGCCCACCAGGGCAGGGCGCAGCTAAAACAAACAAGGCTTTGCTTCTTTGGGAAGTCAACACTTTTTAGATGAAATAAGAGCCAAAGCTTTGCTAGCACCGGTAAACAAGTAATTGTTCACAATTTCCAAATTCTTCTTTTTAACCAATATGGGGGCAATCTCGATGCATCCTGCCACCTGGTCCCAGACCCATTTGTGGCTCTTCTCCTCTTTCTACCTCCAGGGGTGACCTGAAGTTTCCTATTCCACCCCACCCCCCAGCCAGCAGTAAAGGGGAAGGGGGGGTGGAAATAACTGTAGCTGCACCTCCCAAACCCTCCTACAGTCGGAGAAGGGTGTGCACATCCCCTCATCTGCTGTACTGGGCATCTGAAGGAAGGGGATGGGAGAGGCCCTGAGGGTGGCAACTGCCCCAAATGCCTCCTCTTCTGTCCTGGAGAAGCATCCTGGTGTAAGTTACATTATGCACGTCCTTTGTAATCTTTTAGTTTGTGCTTCCTCTCTCTTCCCCATTCTCTCTCTCTCTCTCTCCTAGGCGCATACACCAGATGTTTGCTTTGCAAAGCTCTTTTCTTGATTGTTTCAATTATTTCTCTGTCCTAATTTTTTAATTTCTGCTTTTCTGAAAAGGTTTCCTTATTTTTGTTCTCCCTAGGTTTTTGGCTTGTGGTCCTTGTTGATACTTGTCTTGACATCTCTGAGTTCAATGCAGGGTTAACATGTATTCATTCCTTCTTGTGCAATCTGAGGAAGCACCTGCAAATTTGCCCCTGAATGCAGCCTTGGCCACACCCCATACATTTTGATCTCTAGCACTCTCATTTTCATTTAGGGTTCTAAGCGGTCTGTAACTACAGTTCTCATGGTCTCTTTCCTAGCAGGTTGTTCTTCAAATGTTTAAAGACACTGGATTTGGGGATCTCTGGGTGGCTCAGCGGTTTAGTGCTGCCTTCAGCCCAGGGCCTGATCTTGGAGACCTGGGATCGAGTCCCACGTCAGGCTCCCTGCATGGAGCCTGCTTCTCCCTCTGCCTGTGTCTCTGCCTCTCTCTCTCTCTCTCTCTCTCTCTCCCCCTCTCTTTATGTCTAAAATGAATGAATGAATGAATGAATGAATGAATAAATAAATAAACAAATCTTTAAAAAAAAAATAAAGACACTGGATTTTTCTTTTCCCCCCAGTTAATATATCCCTTCCTCCGCCCCGTTTTAGGGCACTGAGTAGGACCCTAACAGTTTTAGCTCTATAAAATTCACTGAAATTGTCTTTACAACCTAAAGCACTTTTGTAATTTTCAAGCGTTCTGTGAGTCCTCACAAAAAGAAGGCACATAGTTCTGTAAGGCAAAGAACAAAATGATATAACTGCTAATTTAACTTCACACATTATTATTGTATTATTTGAAACTTCAATGCCTTTTAAAATATAATCCGTGAAAGATTTTTTTTTTAAAGATTTTATTTATTGGGATCCCTGGGTGGCGCAGCGGTTTGGCGCCTGCCTTTGGCCCAGGGCGCGATCCTGGAGACCCGGGATCAAATCCCACATCGGGCTCCCGGTGCATGGAGCCTGCTTCTCCCTCTGCCTGTGTCTCTGCCTCTCTCTCTCTCTCTGTGACTATCATAAATAAATAAAAATTAAAAAAAAAAACCTCCACCTTAAAAAAAAAGGATTAAAAAGATTTTATTTATTTATTCATGAAAGACACACCAAAAGAGGCAGAAACATAGGCAGAGGGAGAACCAGGCTCCATGCAGGGAGCCCGATGTGGAACTCGATCTTGGACCCTGGGATCACACCCTAAGCCACAGGCAGCCACCCAACCGCTGAGCCGTCCAGGCGTCGCACCATGAAAGGTCTTGAAAAGAGTATGAAAGATTCCCACAGTTAAGTTTTTGTCAGTTTCTCCCTTGTTCTGATAGTCTGCTTTGATATATTTTATGTTCTCCATGGGGTGCATGAAGGACCACGACTGGTGCCCTCACTATGGCTGCTTCTACTTCAGAGCAACATGCTTCCTGGGTAAAGAGAGTTGAGCTCAAGATCCACTATTCCTGCAATTCATCCGGCCATTCGAGTCCTTCACTGTCATTTTTTATACCGCGGGTCTTGTAAGTTGTGTGCAGCTGGATTCTATTTTTGGAGACTGAGATTCTCTGTCTTTGAGCAGAGGACTTTAACCTCAAACCTAATTACCAGGCCTGGTGATTGACTTTGTACCTACTGAGCAAAGTCAGACCATGGGTTCTGGAATTTGGCTGCTAGGGTGAGAAGCCCAAGTCCCAAGGAGCCAAATGACACTGGCTACACACCCAGCACACCACCAAACCGCTTTAAGCCTCAGTGTTCTCTGTGAAACAGGGATCATCATAGCCCCACCTCGCCATCGGCCCCTGGTCTCAGTGAGTTAACATGAGTAAGGTGCTTCTGAGCCACCCGGCACACAGCTTCTTCCTTCCTCACCATCTCTCCTTTCTCTGTATCCCCTTACCTTTCTGTGTCAGGTCACTGTTTCCAGGAGCTTTTTACCCCGGCTGCACAGACCCCAGCACGTGGCTAGGAAAGACAGCTCCAAGTTTGACAGCAAGAAGAGGCAGGAAGGGCAGGAGAGCCCCCTTTAGGGCAGGAGCTATGCAGAGGAGGACAGAGAAGCTAAGACGAGGAGGAGGACCAGGTGGAAGAGGTGGGTAGGAGGTGAGGTGAAGGATAAAGCAACCTCAAGTTTCTGAAGCTTTGACGTGTGGGGCCATGCTGACCCTAGAGGGACTGCCCCTAGGGGTTCCCCAATTCCTAGAGACACTAAGCCACCACTCTGGAGCAGGCTTTTCAAATATAAACCAAGTCAGAGTCCACACCCCCAGCCACCTCCTTCAAGGAACTCTCGCATTCCAGTCACCCAGGAGTTACTCACACTGGCCAGTCCCCTTCCTACCGTGTACCCTGCCATACCCAGCCCTTCCTGCGAAAACAGCAGTTCCCCACTCCTTCCGGCTGCCACACACCCTGTAGCCCTGTGTGGTGACAAACCATCTTTTCCATGGTAGTCATATCTTGATCAGTTGGCCTCCCCACACCTGAATAATCACAAAACCTATGTTTTAAAACAAGGAGTGAGGTGAAAGGGGATCAAGAATATAGGGGTGACTCACAGTTTCTTGCTTCTTACAGGTACCACAGGGCAGTTGGGTGCAGGTGCGGAGGTGTGGCTTTCAGAGGAGGAGGCCCAGTGCCTCCATTCATCTTACAGCAAATGGGGGCTCTGCGGTGTCAGAGACACCGGCTCACTCACCTTCCCGTAGCTCAGCAGGATTATTCGCACCAAGACGACATTGATGTGGGCCCCCAAGGACTCATCGTGATAGATTTCGTTGACCTGAAAGACAACCAGGGAGGTGTCAGCAGGAACCACAGGCCCAAGGACCACCTGTAGCTGACAAGGAAGGGCCCAGGGGAGGCTGTGCCTTCGCACCCACGCTGTGCCCTGCCCTCTGTAAAATAGGCTTAAGAGTCCCCATCTCACGAAGCTCTGTGAGCATTGGATTTCCACACAGGTACAAAGGAACAGCGTTGGTAAAAGCAGTAAGACACTGTATTTGTCACCACCACTAAGTCAGATTGCCCGTAGCCCCCCATGAAGTCATGGAGGGGAGCAGGGTGCACAGCCCTACACACAGACACCCATGCAGGGCACTGAAGGTCAAACTAGATTGTTTAGTCCACAGTGAGACAATAGCCCTAAAAGCCAGTTTTCCTTACGAGAAAAAGGGTTTCTCTCTATATATGTCAAATAAATAAATAAAATCTTAAAAAAAAAAAAAAAAGGATGGGGAGGGCCTGGGCAGCTCAGTAGGTTAAGCATCTGCCTTCCTCTCAGTCATGATTTCAGAGTCCTGGGATTGAGTCCCACATGGGGCTCCCTGCTCAGTGGAGAATCTGCTTCTCCCTCTCCCTCTGTCACTCCTCCTGCTTGTACTCACTGGCTCTGTCTCTCTGTCAAATAAATAAATAAATAAATAAATAAATAAATAAATAAATAAATAAATAAAATCTTTTTTTAAAAAGGGAGGAAGAGAGGGTTTTGTTTTTTGTTTTTTTTTTAAATCTCCAAAGTATTGCTTTATGTCTCACAAGCAAGCCCAGCCAATTTGGCTCACGGGCTTTGAGCAAAAATCATGGAGCAGAAGTGAAGAAGGCAGTGATGTGGGAAGTCCCCCGGCAGCTGGAGGGCTCAGGAGAGAAGGGAGGACAGAGAAAGGTCAGGTGGAATGGCTAGGTTTCACTGTACTCCTTCTACCTCTGATCCCCAGCCTATGCTTCCAGTTGGGGGGACAGGGCAGGGAGGGTGGAAACAGCCCTGATATTAGGGAAGAAGTCAAAAGTAGAGAGAGCCCAATTCTGCTGTCTGGGACCTGGGAGGGGACAGGTTCATACTGAGAAGGGGGTGGCTTCAGAGAGCCCAAATGGAGGCCAGCTCCCATTAGTAGATCCAGGGAGACTGGGTAGGATAGTTGGGGGCTGGTGTATAGGTTGGCCTAGGGCTCTGGGGGACACAGCTGAGCCTCAGAGGGAGTCAACGGGGTGCTGGCCTACAGGAGAGAAGGGCAGACATTGCATGGCCAAGGAGGAGAGCACAAGCCCTGATGACCCCAACTGCAGAGCCTCAGCCTGGAGGGCCACTGCCCAGGGCAGAGCATGCTAGGACAGATGTGTGCTGACATAAGGGGGCTATGCCATGAACCACACCTACCCCGAGGGAGGAGGGCAGGGGATAAACCAGCCCTGCTTTTCATGTCTCCCCCAAATTCATAACCCCCAACATAATGCAATCTGGAAGTGGGGCATTCAAGAGGCAAACAGGGTTAGATGATGCCATGAGGGTGGGGTCCCTGTGGTGAGATTAGCGCCTCTACAAGAAGAGGGACCGGAGAGCTCCCTCACTGTCTCTCTCACTGCCATGTGAGGACATGGCAAGGAGGAGGCCACCTGCAATCCAGGAAGAGAGCCCTCACTAGGAACCAAATTGGCTGACACCGTGATCTTGGGCTTCCAGCCTCCAGAACCACGAGGAACTAATGTGTGTTGTTTAGGTGACTGTGCCTGTGGTATTTTGTTCGAGCAGCCCGAGTGAACTAAGACAAGCCCAGAGTCAGAGCTTACTTACCCTCTGCCCTGACTATTCTTCCTAAAGCCTTCTGAACCAGAAAAGCCTCTCATGGGCCAGGTCACATTTCCTTCTCTATCCCGGCGGGAGGGTGGCATCAGATATAAGAACTCAAGAAAGCTACCTTTTTCCCCATGTTTGAGTTTTAGATGTGTAGATGTCCATTGTGCCATGCATATAACCCCCCAGCCCAGCAATGAGCCCTGTACAGATTAGCAATGGGACTTCTCCAACTGAGCCACCCTGGCCTGCTGAAGCCCACCACCCGCTGCTGGGGTTCAGAATTGCCTCGCCTGGCCTCTCCTCCATGGACCTCTGCAGGTACCCAGCAGACCCAGGAGAAAGTTATTGGCCTTACTCCATGGCAGGCACCATGTTAGCATGTGGATTCAGCAGTGAACCAGCCCAGACCTAGCCCTCTGTCAGGAGGTGGAGAGAGAGACACTCAGAAATCACAGAAACAGTTCCACAATCATGAAAATGCTGACGAGGACCTCGAAGGATAGGCAGGGAATCTAGGGGGCATATTAGTAGTGAATCTGCCCTGGTGAGGATTGGTGGGTCCCCTAAGGACATGGCATGTCATCTCAGAGGTAAGAAATGACAAGGAATTAGCTCAGCAAAGCTGGGAGAGTGCTCCTGGCAAAGAAAGCAGCATGTGCAAACATCCTGGGGTCAAAGGCAGTGAGGTGTGTTCCAAGGACTAAGCAGGGGGAGAGGACCCCTGAGGCCAGACCCCACAGCTAGTCACATAGTGAGAAGGGTTCCAGTTCTATTCAAAGAGCAGTGGAGGATATGGAGTCATGATAAAAAGATAATGACACTGCATTTAACAAAGATGACTCTGGCTTCTTTATGAAAAGTAGATTAAAGTGCCCAGTTACAGCAGTTGAGGTGTAAAGTGTGGGGCTCAGATTAGGGGTGAGTGGAGGGGAGGAACAGGATGTGGAATAGAATGGAAGGCACCTCCTATACAGCCCTGGGACACTCTGGGGCCCACCTCAGCCCCAGGCCCTTGTTGGCAAATGGAAATAGTCCATCTTTGCTCTGCACAGGAAGGAAAAATGCCTCAGGGTTGTCTCTCAGAGCCTCCCCAGAAAACAAGGGGCTAGAGACTACCTCAACACCCTGAGAGTGCCTCTCCAAGGAGTGTGCTCTAACCGTACTTCTAAGAGCTGGTCTGGGGTACACCTCGAGGAGACTCACCCCCTACCATGTGAGGGTAGGCACTAAGCCCATGGTGTTACAAGCTTTAGGAAGACAAGTTTTATCAAGACCTACCTTGATATTTGGAAGGGATTCAGGGCTGAGTTCACAGAATTAGCTCATGTTAAGCTCCCAACAGCCCTTAGAGGCCAGAGTGAGAGGTGGTCGATCCCATGAGCAATGGGGAAGCTGAAGCTCTGAGTGAGGGTGTGCATGCTTGTCCCCACAGGGAGGAAGGAGACCCTTTCCACTTCCTAGCCCAGACCTTGCCGATCAGGGCCCGGGATCCTCTTGTTCCCCTGACCCCAGCCACTATGCCCAAAGGTAGCCACTTTCATCTCAGGTAAGGGTCCCGTGTCCTTGGATATTACGTAGGTCTGACCCTGACTCCTGATTTGGGACTGGGGATGACCAGAACCCCAGGAACCCCACCACTCAGCACTACATACTATGAGGCAGAGGCCCACATCCTGCTGGGGGCGGCGGCAAGGCTACCAGAGTCGGGGGTGTCAGGCCACTGAGCTGGGACCAGGCTGGGGAAGCCCTGCCTTCCGAGCTGCCCACCGGCTGCCAGTTCTCATACGCTGGGCCAGGTTGGTGCACCCTGCCCCCAGCCCCCTGGGATGCAGAGGGGCACACCCAGCAGATGGCCAGCTAGGAGGCCAGGCTGTGGGTCAGGCTGGCAGCCAGGCCTCCTCTGGAGACTCCCCTGGCCCACCTCTCTGGTCACCTTCAAATGCGGTGGGCCTTTCATGGTTTTCTCCCCTAGGAAGCCTTTGTGCCTTCCAGAGGGGCTACAGTTCCACATAGTCTCCTCCTCTCAGGAAGTCGGTGGGCTGTGCCCTGGGCTCTATGACGCCTCTCAGAGAATGCAGGGCAGGGTTGAGGAGAGGGGACCGCACTGAGGAGAGGGCCCTCCCTGGTCCCACCCCCAGGGTGACATCCGCTTTTCAGGGGGCTGTAAAACTGCCCAGCCCTCGAGCCCACAGGATGCTGCTCAGATGCTAGAAGCCAGCAGGGCCCGCCTGGCCACAGAGACCAGGGGAACAATGAGTACAAATTCCAGTGAAACACTTGCATCCTTAGTAGGAACGCGGCTACAACATTGCTGCTGAGCGGTGGGCTGACAGACGTGCAGAGTCACTGGAGGCAGGAAGCAGCCTCCAAACACCTCCCTCACGTTTCCCCACTCCTCCCTTGACCCAGACCCTATCTCTCAGATAAGCAGCAGGGGTGCGGTTGGGGGGGATCCCGGAGCACTCTCTGCCTCATCCTGCTCACACCCCCCATGCACCGTTGGTCATGACAGTCACCACTCAGCAGATGTGGCCTCCTCTTCCTCTGCCTGGAACCCTCAGTGCCCCACCACCACCCCGGCTGGCACTCGGAGCCCTCTCTCAGCGGTCCCTGGCTGCCTTCCCCATGCTCCACTACAGCTACTTTGGGGAGCCCCTGGCCTCGACTGCCCCGCCTTCTGCAAAGCCTGGCTGCCCTTTCCAGATGGCTCATCCCTGGAATTCCCTCTCCCCATCTCCAGCCCCAGAATTCTTGAAATCTCTGAAAAGCATCTGAAAAAACAAAGTCATGGTGATAAATGGGTTTCAAAGAAAGGGGGGGCAGTTACCCCTCTGCTTCATCCCTACCCACGCCAAGGCCTTCTCACTACAACTGAAATAAAACTGAAGCCCTGCTGCTTCTTCTCAGGTTGCCCTGGCCTTGCTCAGTGTGGTCCAGCCACTGGCCTCCAGGCACCTTGCCCAGAGAGCCCATCCCTACCTCAGGGCCTTTGCACTTACCAGGCTCTCTGTCTACTCATGCTTTTTGCCCAACACAACCGTCCCTGCTCACAATGAGCCCCAAAAGCACCCCCAAAAGTAGCTGCTTCCAGACAGGACTGTGCACTTGATATAAGAGGCACCTTTCCTCCTTGCTTGCTGCTGTGTCCCCAGCAGTGCCAAGCACCCAGTAAATGCTCAGTAAAGAGTTGTGAGTGAATGGATGACTTC